CTGGAGAACCAGCCCTCCCCTCCCACCCCCCCCCCCACCCCCCCCCCCAAGTGGCAACTGGAGTCCCAAGGAGAGAATGCATCTTGAACCACAGCCAGGAGAGGGCTGCAGGCTTTCCTTGCCAAGTCTCTGGAAGGTGCCAAATGAACTTGAATCTTCAGCTCCAGGCCTTCAGAGAGCAAGCTGAGCAAGAAAAACACGGGGCCTGGGAAAAGCCACAGTCGGGAGGGAAGTACCCCACTCTCCTGGCTCTGTCCCTAATGCACTATGTGGTCTTAGTCCCCACTTCCCTCTGTGAGCCTCAGTTTCCCCCATTAGACAAGGCCCTTCAGCTTTGAGAGTGTGCAAAATGGCTCCACAGAGATCTCGCTCCCTAAGAGGCACAGAGAGGAAAAGACATTTTTCACCAAGTTAGACGAAATGTTGCCCTCCAGTTCCACCTGGCACTGGAGGGGCCCTGTGGGAAGAACTACAGGAGTGCTGGCCACCCGGAGGGTCCCCAGGGTTCCAGAGATAAGTGAGGTCCCTGCCACCAGAGGTGTCCAGGAAGGGAGGTGCCCAGCAGATGTGACGGCGGGGAAACTCCAGCCCTGCACCTAGGAAAGGCAAGACTTCCGGGGCTCTTGGGTTAGGAGCTTCTAGAACTCAGCATTTCCTCGCCCGAGGCCCCCATTCTAAAGCAGTGCAGAATTCTCCAGGACTCCCATTTCACAGCAGGGTCACTGGAGCCCTCTTCCTGGGGTTGCCTAGTGGAGGGGACTCCCTCCCAGCCTTGGGATATGGGGGTGGGGCAGAATGGTGAGCAACCAGGTTGAAAGCACTGATTGAAACAAGGCAGCACTGGGTTCAAATCTCGGCTCTACCACTTAACTGAGCAAGTAACTGAACACCCTCACATCTCAGGCCCCCCTCTAAAATGGGGGTGTAAATCAGGCGGCTGGGCTAACGAAGTACCCAGTGTCCAGCATGAAATGCCAGCTGCTGCTGCAGCTCTGCCAACAGGCTGGGTTCCCCGGAAAGCTTATGAAGCAAACACCAGTCAAGGGGCCCAGGAGAGCGGGAAGGAGGGAGGGGTGCTGGGGGAGCACACTGTTGACATGTATAAAGGTTTCTGGGGAAGGGAGTGGCCCCGAGAGGCCAGCTGAATGCGTGCTGGGGAGGCGGTGCAGACACTGGCTCATGAACCCCTCTTTGCTACACCCTAGCAGTGGAGCTGGCTCCTGGAGGCAGGTGTGGGTGGCATGCCACCAGTCACCTCTGCTGAGGCCACCCCACACAGATGCGAGGTCACTTGTTAGCACTCGGCTACAGACACACATATGTAAGTCTTCATGCAACAGAGCTGCAAAGCCTTCAGGTTCGGCTCCACCCTCCCACTGGAGAGGGGAGATGGAGGCCCCCATGGGGGTGAGGGGGGCTGAGGGCAAAAGCTCGAGAAGGCCTCTCCCATGCCACTGGGCCATACTCACTAGGGAACCCCGACCCACCCGGCCACCTACCTACTGCATCCGGCTCTGGCTCAGTGCCCAGGTATCGCCCTTGGGACCGTGAATCCACCAGCTGGAACCTCTTGGACTGGAGGTTCTCCAGCACCTGCTCATAGGTCTTGAGCAGAGAGCGGTCCAGGGTGGCTTTGAAGATGGCTGGCTCTGGGCGGGAGGGCTCAGAGGTCACTGGGTGGCCCTCCTTCAGCCAGTTCCGGAAGCCACCATTGAGTACAGACACAGTGCGGTGGCCAAACACGCGGAACATCCACCAGACCCGGGGAGCATAGAAGGTGCCCAGGTTGTCACCGTCATACACCACCACGTGGGTGTCGTTGCTGATGCCCAGGCGGCCCACGTAGTCGGCGAAGCCCTCCTCGCTGGGCAGCATCATCTCGTAGGGAGACGCGGTGTCCCGACACTCCTCTATATCGAAGAAGGAGGCGCCGGGCACATGGCGCTCCAGGTACTCCTTGCGCGCCTCGCGGGTGCCTGGTGAGTACCAGGACGCGTCCAGCACCCGCAAGCCAGGCCCCACCTTGCCAGCCCGGACCGACTCCGCCAGCCACTTGCTGGAGACCAGCGCCCGATAGAGCACTTGATGGACCATGGTTCCGGCTCTCTGTCACCTGGCGCGGGTGGGAACCGGGAAAGAGCCGAATGAGGAGGACTGTGTATGTGTAGTGGGGTGGGGCCTGGGGAGGAGCCTTCTCCCACTGCACCCCCGCCCCCCAGGGTGTCGTGTTTACAGCAACCAGTGGGCCTGGGGCACGCAGGGGGACGGGTCTGCAGATCCCCTAAGGAAAGCCTGCCCCATCCCTCCTACAGGCCTGGGCCGCAGCTCAGAAGCAGGAGGTGGGACAGGAGTTTCTGAGGGCTCCAACTGGGGGAGCTGGCTGGGAGGGGTCCGGCCCCTAGAAGTTACAACACTCAACTCCCCAGCCAAACAAGAGCGGTGAAAACATGCCCTGGACGGTGGGGCAATGGCACCTTGGGCTCAGAATCCCCCTTCCAGGGAGGGATGGGGGGTGGGCGCACGGGGAGGCAGCCGCTGGAGCCCCGCCACGCCCTCGCCTCCGCAAGCTCTCCTGCGGCCTCTCGCCGCACCCCCGCTCGCCTGCCTCCAGAATGCCCGGAGTCCAGCCGCCCACCCGTGCCTTCTGCCCTAGTTGATCCAAGGGTTCCGGGATACCCTGCCTCGCTTTCGCCACCAACACCCTCCCCTGGGCCGCAGGTGGCCAGCGGCGGGCCCAGCCCCGGGCGCCTGGCCGCCGCACTCACTCGCCCTCGCCGCCTCGCTGGCGCTCGCTGGAGAAGTTGGCAGGTTCAAACCCGGAGCCTGAAGCTCCCTGGGTGGCCCGAACCACTGTGTCGCCGGCCGAGGGGGGACCTTGCACCGTCCACCGCGACTCCGCAGCCCCAGTCGCCTGGTCACGCCCGGCCCCGGCCCTGCTCTAGGCGCTCTGCACCTTTCAGACCCTCAGGGTGCCTCTGGGAACGCCGGACGGCGCGAGGGTGGCGCGGGGCGGCGCTAGCGGCACGGGCGTCCCCCGGACCTTGCTAGTGGGAGGAGGGGGCAGCGGCG